TCATCTTCTTACTGTGTACCGAATATAAATTTTCTGTGTTTTCATATCTATCAAAAAATTTTATCAACGTTTTCTCTTCAGGCACAGGTTCGCAATAAATGTTATTTGTGCAGCAATAGCTGTAGATGTGAGAAAAACCAATTAAATTTACTTTTACTTGTTTATTTTTTGTTCCTTTTTATTTCATTTAAAAAAAACCTATCAATCAGGCCAGTTCTACATTGGTGATTAAAATGGAAAAAGGATGAAGAAGTTCGCATAAGCCTCACAGGTAATTAAAGTAGAATAACGGAATGGACAACGAGATCTTCGCTTCGGGCACTCGCCGTTATTATTATTGTCGTCCATGTTTTTTCTGTCATTCTCCTCCGACAACAAAGCACGCCGATTTTATGGCGATCAAAAGGCACTGCCACTCGCTCGAGATAATCTACTGACCGTCACGGATTAATGTTGTAGAACGAGGAAGAATAATACGTATACTTTTATGTTCTCGAAGAGAACAGATTTGCGCGTGTATGGATCATTTGAAATTAGAACAGTCAATATCATTCTATGACTTGGAGACGAAAAGAAAAAAAAGAGAGAGAAAATAGGTATTGTAACTCATACGTGTAACAGTCATATCAGACCATTGTCGTACTTTATTTAGATTTTTATAACATACTCATCTATTAAGCAACAATACGAGACTTGTTCAAAGTCTCGCAAGAGCTTACGAAATAAAATATTCTCATTTAGCAATGCTGATGAGGCAATTCTGAATATATTTCTTGGTCTCTCTTTCGTACGATCGTGACCATCCGTACGTGAAAGCGAGGTACGGCTGATCGAAGTGCTTCGATCGAACAATTAAACAATTGTTAGGGCTGACCCACTTCTTTGCCAGGACACGTTGTCCTTCCTCGTTGTACGCCACCGTACGTAGCATGGCACTTTCGATCTACCGTAGAGATCGTTCAGCTTAAAATCGTTTGATCGCGTGCGTTCAGTTTATTTGGTAAAACAATTAAATGCAGAGATGTCACCAGCAACATAAATATAATACGTTCGGCAGACGCGCAAAGAAAAGTATAAATTATATATTTAATAATTTTATATATAATATTTTTCTATTACAAATTTTCTCGAAATGTACACGAAGTCTTTAATACACAATTGGCATTAGATTCAGCCTAAATTATTTTGTTACATAAAGTTTTGATATTAATTATTCAAATTATACTATCTGAGAAAACCGAAATGCATCTAAATATTTAGTTACATCAGATAGGAACGTTATATTGTCGAATTCTTAATTGATTCTGACTTCTTTATTCAAGCGTTTTAGATATACCACTCGAGATACTAACGTACTTTAAACCACAAGCATATTAACGTCGCGCTTACGAGGAAATTGTTTCGATTAATAATTAATCAGTTCGATAATGTTGTCTCGTGTTATCGCCTGCGCGATGCTACTCGGTCTTCTTTATTACCACTTGCCGATGATAGATGGATCGATCCAGACGAAGCGTTAAACTACCCATTACTACGCATTCCCGATCGCATCATCGCGTGGTTAATAAGATAATAAGTACCACGCTGGGGATGAATAATCGCGATAGGACGCCCTGGAGCCGCCGGTCTCCACGCGAGTACGTCGCGCGGCGTCGATTAACCACAGCAATAAGGAAGCGTTCACGTCACGGATTAATTGCAAAGCCCCCTTTATAGTTTTCGATGCGAAAGAATGCACTTAGGACGTATTGATTAGTAAGCCGGTACTTCTCGATCGGCATTTCACAACGGTATACACCACGAGAATTCGACGTTGAGATATTTCAATTCCACGCCTGTTTTCCAGTGGACCAAGACATGCAGACAACTTGGAAACGCGTTTCCTTTTACGACCAAAAATCATCGAGGGAAGACGTTATCGATTGATCAAAATTACAATCATGACGTTAAGTAGCGACTTCGTCAAAGTGAAAGTCCGACGGCTGCTGTATTAACGCCGTCGTCAACTCGTCTCGGTTATGTCGGGTGTATACGACTTCACGCAGTCGCGTACACGGGCAGCACGCATCTTGTATCTAATTATCGAGGAATGCTTTGTGCGTGTAGGAAGCCGCGCGCCGACCGGGCTTAACAACTCAGCAGAAGAAAAAGAATCGAGCCCACGAGATTGAGCGGTACACGCACGCACTTATACTTGATACACGTACGACATTTCGGTCAATTTCGCACTCGCGCCGTTTCTTCCTTTTTTTTTCTCTTTGCGGTGGCTTTTAACGAGTGTTAAAGAATATATTATCAAGAGATAATTCGGCGACCTGAAAAAAATGCGGAACTTGATAATTCCGAAAAGAAGAGATTAAAAGAACATTAATTCGACCTACGTTCGAATTAATGTCTCCTATAATTCTTCTTTTATAACTTCAATTTTTTTTAATCACCAACATAATTCAAGAATCATGGATGTATTTATTCAATTCTGAGAAGAAAAATAACATTGCTGCTCTTTCAGTGACAATTGTGCACTGAATCAATTAGACAGTTTATTAAATATCCGCAAAGGTGTGTGTCTTTGGACGTTTCGAATTTTTTAAATTAAAAACTGGGAACGCAAAGTGGAAGTAAAGACTATATTTATGAGCAATCTCTTTTCTCTTTAGCACTAATCTGATCTTGTAATTTCGACGAATGTTGTTCCCCATGTTGATAGTTTTGGACGTCTTGATGACGGAGGAATATGAAAAAATGGTGAAAATTATAGACCCGAGTATCGTGAACCGCCCAGGTCATTCATTCACACTCGGGTTCCCAAAGGGAACCAAAGGGCGGGCCATGCTTTACGTTCCCGTGATGGATAATTAATAATTATAAAGCGATCAAGGGAAGGGTGGCATTTATGCGATCCGCCACGGTAATTTCCGATTCGCTTGTGCACGAAAGATGTGAATTCGTGGCAACCTCGATTTTGTTTCACCCTAGAGGGCTCGTTAAGAAGAAGAGAAACTGCATACATGTGCATAAAATCATGATTAGATGACGGTTCATTTAGTGCAATGCAAACCCACGGAAAATCATGCATGCATCTTGCATGTAAAAATGAACAAAAATTTCTAACGTTATCATATATAATTATTAAAGAAAGATCGTCAATATGTTTCACGAGATAATTTTCAATAATTCAAGATTTATCCAGAAAGAAATGTATAATCCACATAAATGCATAAAAACACATGTATTACAAGAAATAAAAAGAAAAAAATAGACATTTTAAGAGAAATGCATATTGTGTGAAATGTATGTTATAAATATCACTTTTCTACCAACATACTGTATTGAGAAAAATTGGAAATTTGAAAGTTTGTAATAAAGATGTCGAACAATACATCGTTCCTCGACCATTCTCCATTCTAGACCGTTTATCGATTCGCGCGATCCTGCCATCGTATTATCGATTATACTCGGACGCGTTGGTAACGCCAATCACGTCCCCAGACTCGGTCGTCATTATGGAAATAGTGAGTGTAATGCGTCGGGGAGGCAGATGATTGCGCGCGTTCGCCGATCTTCGTGGCATCTAATACGAGGAAAACGCGTTAACATGCGTGTTTGCTTTAGGCATTTCTTGGAATCAGCGATCGAACAACTACTCAGCTGAAATTGCTGAAGAAATCATCAAGTGTAATTTTATATTAAATGTTTTCGTTTAACTAAGTTTAGTCCTTAAATCTTTTGTCAGAAAAAAATAAAATTCAAACGCAATTAAGAATCTATCTTTGTTGATAATAAGACATGTATACGCAAATAATGATAGATATTAAAGGAAATTATTTTTCTAGATAAATAATAAATTATAAATAAATATCGCGTAAAATCAAGCTATTCTCGATAATGAAAGAGCTGGATTCTCTCAATAGCACTGACAAAGCTGCATCGTATTTGCGAAGGACCAAGGAATAACAAATCGGCGATGTTCGTTGGCGAGACTAACGCTCCGCAAAAGATCGATGAGAGATCGAATGTCAACACGAGAGATCGTTCGACGGCTAGGTATACAGCACTGAGATTTTCGAAGCGAAAGTTCGTTCGTGGAAGTGAAGATAGGGAGCCCTTTGTGCGTCTTCCATTGTCGACTGAGGGAGGCTGACTGGCTGAATTCAATGCAAGTCGTGCACGAAAGAGTGGCCATACGCGGCTCAAAGGGAGGATAGTCCGTGTATACAAGACAGTATAAGCATTGCGTGCAATAACTTCGGTGTAATCGTCGAGAAACGAGTTAGGAGAGCGGCCATGTATGGAAGACTTTCATACGCACGCGGAATAACAAACCACGTAGCAATCGATAATCTTCTAGTTCAAGGCTGCATCAACGTATAAACAACGCTCATAATTGACGTGCTAATCTAAATTCTTTCAATGCTATTCTTTATTATATGTGGACAAATACATTTGAATTATAAAAGTAGAGCAATTAATTTTTTTTTCACTAGATACACAGAAAGAACGATCTTGCTGAAGTATTTAAAAATTTAGCTAGATACAAATCCGAAAACGATTTTGTTGGATCAAAATAATTACGTAAGAATCTCAAGTATAATGAGCAATGCTGCAAAAGCATTTAACATTCTAGTAACCAGTTTGAGTGTTCTACCTAATTATTTTGATCATCCAACAAAATTATTTTTATATTCCTATATAGTTAAATTTTTCGATACTTCAGCAAAACCTTTCCGTGTAATTATTACATGTATAAATATCCCGTATTTGAAAATCTTAATCTTATGATATCTTCCTCTCTCACACATCTATTCCGTTAAAACAAATATGCCGTTATTGCATCGGATATATGACACGATCGGTCTATAATCTTTTCTGACTCCCATGATAGCAACATCGAGGCTAATGTTAATCAGATAGGCTAGCGTTTCGGTACGGATTAGCCAGTTTGCGAGTGAGGAAGATTTACAAGACTTCACGGACGACATATTAATTTACGTAAAACTTACCTCGTGTGCTTGATCCTCGATGCTCCGCAGAACCGCGAGATTGCGGATAGTCGCGCGTCGCGACTCGAACGATGACTCCAGCCTGGTGGCAGTCTTACCCACCTCCTCCACCAGTCTTCGGGCTCGTTTCACCGACAATCTAGAAAGATAAAAAGGAACCGTGATCATGACGCACCGTTAGGAATCCGCGTGGCCGTCTCTTCATGTACAAACGATCGAACCCTAACCACGAACGAAGGTCAAGATGCAAATCGGAATTAAATGTTTCATCGACTAACGTGTTTCGTTATCTTCGCATTAAAATGTCCTTCGTTGATACATGTTTCATAAATATACAGGAATCAAAGAAAGCTCAATGTAATCTGCACTCTCAATCAATCTAAACAGCTTTTCAAATTTAATGCCTCCTTAATCAAAAGAAGAAATCATTTGCATAATGAATAGATAATAGGTCGATGTTACAAAGTAACATTAGTATAACAATGTTATACTAATTATTAATTAGAATCAACACGGTTAAAAAAGAAAAAAATTGAAACATCAATATTTTGTTTATAGAAAATTATGTTATGCGAGTAATCAAGAAATCATTTTTTAACAAAAACATAAGTGTGACAAAAAAAGTTTTATCTGTGAAATCTAAAAGAAACAGATCCTTTCTTGCGCGATCAATGTAAAAATAAAAAATTCTACCTAACGTGCTCAATGTATAGAAGGGGGACCGCACGTTCCTCGAGTGCGGCGATGGCCTCTTCGGCATCTCTAGACGTTCTTCTCAATGTGGGGTCCGTGAGGAGCCGACCGAGAGGCGTCAAAGTGCCAGACAGGCTTGTACATTCCTTCAGGTCCGACATTTCGAGGGCTAATCTGCGACCAGCCGATTGCCACTCCGTCATGAGGCTGTCGTATTCCTACGGGAAATCAAAATACCGATCATGGCGAAATGATGTCTATCTACTTCTCGCGATCTAGTGAAATGTCCTTCATCGGCAACCGGTATCCAGGAGGAATGCCAGCGACGTAGAAGTAGACATGTCTAATACGGCGATTGCGCGATTCAATGAACCGTAATCGATCAATCATTGCAAACCTTACGGGGAATACATTGTTTAAAGAAGTACGTAATGAATGACGCATATCTGTTGCACGTAGAACAAATACGTCGAACTATTATCTCGATAATTTCTTAGCTCCAAGTGCCCGTTCGAATCGCTCCAATCACGTGCACACAAATACCAATCGCATTAGATCAACTCGCGATGAATATGGCGCATGTTCGGAATAGCGATTGATATCGATTTCCGACACAATTAATTTAATACTGCATTTATATATCAAGTTCTAGACGTATCTTTGTGACAAGATATATTAATTTTAACTGATATAAAGTCAAGATTACAGAAACGTAAAAATTAGATTATCAGTACTACCTTTCATATTTATCGTAAATAAAAAAAGAAAAATTTTGTGTGTGTGTGTGTGTGTGTAAAGTATGTAATATTATGTAAAGTATTCAATTATTATACAGGTTATAATTACAAATCCAACCGATATCTTAATTTTGTGAAATTGTCCAGCAGATTAATCAATCTCATAATAATCGATCTCCAAGTATAAATCCATTATCTCCGGAGATAATCAATGGCTAAATTTCTATCATGGTAGTATTGTAGGACGGCTCGACAACTGTAGAATAAATTCGGACGATGCAGAATTATTAATTACAGAAGATAATTACCCCGCATTCTCGTCAAATATATTTTTAATTTCTTTTTCTCATCACAACTTTCGATTAATAATTGATTATTACCCGATTTCACCAATCTTCCTCAACTTTTTATTAACTTTTTTTATTAACGAACATAAAATTAATAACTCATGATTAAAAATTAAAGTAGCATTAAATTTTATTAGCTTTCGTAAAAGATATAATAACATCTTCATTAAACTCGATTTAAAACAATTTAAATGTCTTTAAGAAAATTAAATCCCAAAGAATAAGTAAAGAAAAGAAAAATATATACAAGATATAATTTTGTTTCAAGAAAATGATTAAAAAATTGTAATAATTAGAATGTAAACACGATAATGTGAAGTACTGATTAATTAATAATACTAGTCAGTACCACTATCGAGCAATAAATCGACATTCATTGCGAAAGACTGAAATAAGCAGATCGATACCATTATTTCGTTCGAGCGACTTCCAGCTATTTATTTCATTAAATTTGCCGAATCATCATCATGATGTTGAGCTGATCGAAGCGGCTTACCGTTGATTGACATTGAACGACAAATTGCGATAACAATTTGTCGCGAGATTTACACTATCGAATTGTTTATTTACATTTGCAAGCATGGCTTTCGCTTATTTTACATAATATATAAACTATTATTATTATATAATACATTATTATATAATATAATGTATATACTATATTATATAATATATTATATAATATATTAGGTGTTGGAATTAATTCGTAGCGTATTACAAGTGATGGGAAGTACTTTCATTAATGTATTTTTTAATGCTCATGTGAAATAAATAACATTCTTTCATTAAAAAACGCTACGAATTAATTCCAACACCTAATATTATTATGTAATAGTGTATAAATTATTTTATGAGAACATTTTATGTTCTCTTTAATGTTCGTTATTTCAATTAAATTGATGCAATATCGATGCGATTTAAGTATTCACTGTGAAGATATAATTACCTTATAAAAAGCGATCCATTGCATCTGGTCGTGATTTTCTTCTCGTCTGGGAATATACTTTGCGAGAATGGCATCATTCACGATGACGGTCTGAAAGGGAACATTTATGGCTAATTATGTCCCGATAGCATTCAATGATCATACTTATGGGACTGTAAAGTACGTTTGTCGCAAATACTAAGCTTTAGCTTTTTGTAGCAATATTCGTTTCGTCTCGACAAAGGAGAGAAATGTCACAATGGAAACCGTGAAGCTATAATACACCAAGCGACACAATTCCGATACGAAACGCACGTGCGGACGCTTAAGAAGCCAAATATAATACACCGTGGAAACTGGATCAGTACAACGTACAATGAACATAGGAAGACAAAAACGACAAGCGATTGAAAGTGATTACTTTCTTGCCTGCGGGAAGGTGCGTTCAATGCCGTTCGAGGGTTTAATTGTTCTTTGATATTAAACTCACCTGGACCTTACTGAGAGGTAAGAGAGATTCAATCAGGCCATCCGTTGTTGCGGCATTTCGAAGCACGAGAGTCTGAACCACGTTGACTCTGCCCTATAAAGGCAAGAATTGCGCGTGATTTCCATGACGGTTTCACAATAAAATTTTCATTCGCCCGCGAAATTATTCTTACCTGCAACAGGACCACTACTTCGTCTATAAACTCCAGACTCTCTTTAGAATCGCCGCGTATGAAAATAGTGAAGCCATCTTTTGTGCAGTCGGAGCTGAAAAATTAAAAATAGAAATCAAATATTAATTTACAAGCGTAGAAAGTGTAATGGAATTATTTCTTGCTGAATTATACAAACATTATGGAAAGAATAATTTTTGGAAACATCTAAAAATTTAACTAAATATAATAATTTTATTGGACTAGCTAAATTTTTAGATATTTCAGTAAAAAAAACCGTTCTTTCCGTGTTTATCAGAATAAAATCGTCATTATTATATCTTTACTCTTGAATAACTTTCCAATGATATTATTAAATAAATATTTTCAAAAAATAGGAACATGAATTTTCACTTATATAACAATATAATTGGAAGTTAGCTCTACGTAACATTATCATTACATCTAAAAATAACCGTTATACGTGTCCATCATTTCGTACATTAGCCGGACAGCCTGCACTCGGCGGTGTTTTCGAGTGCTTATCGAAACTCCATCGTACACAAGTGCATCGATCCATATTTACAAACGTCGAATTTCCTAAGCAAATATTATTGCTTCCGACGAGAAATTCCCTGTGCACACGTGAATTACTGCTCGTCGCACACGTATTGCAAGATATCCTCACATGTATTGTGCTACGATTTCTCCTTCCCATCATCATGCCGCAAATGAAACGTGTCATTCGTTGCAGTGACGCTTTTATAAAACGACGTACACGTGCAGCGCCAGCAAGACATGCCTCGTTATGTATTTTAATCGACATATCGTTTCTCACGATCACCATTCGCGCTCAATGGATTAAGTTTAAGACGGAGCGCTTAAATCACAGAAATCACAGCTGGTGTACTCTCGATTTGACATTGTCGAGAGTTTGATTTGTGTTATATCTTGTAAACACGAATAATAATTTTAAAAACTATTAATTCTATATTAAATTATGTTTCTGATAACATTATACCTTATATCTCAATTATCAAAATAATTATATAGGAAACTTAAGCATGAAAAGCAATACTGACAAACATTTTAAAAGACTTGTTATAGTGTCAAAGAGCAACATTGTCACTATAATAAATTTTGATATTCCAGCAACCAATTCTATATAATAATTGTTATATAAGCATTTTTTTTATAGTCCAACAAAATTATTTTTAAATCCATATCCAAATTAAATTTTTAGACATACTTCAAAACTGTTCTTTTCTTGTAAACAGTAATAAAAGGTTAATATCAAAGCAATCAATTTTCAATCGTATTCTCATGGAAATGAGCATTATATCGCTACCACTGATGTGAATACTTTTGTACTACCTTTGTACTATTGCACTAAGAAAACTTATACATTTTAAGTGACTCGTTATAGTGTCAAAGGGCAACATTGTCGCTGTAATAAATGATTGTATGTATCTGGCCAATACCTATAAGAACTATAATACGATAAAAGATCGCGTCTTCATAAACAGTAGCTAAAAATGCGCGTAAGCGCAATTTCAGACGGCTAAACGTACCCAGTTGTATCAGATATCGTAAATAGCATTAAGTTATGACACGTGGGTGGTTGACATTAAGCATGCAGCGTTTCTCACGCGGCTCTCATGGCACTCACACTCCTCTCTCGTCCTTCTCGCGTATACTGTAATCACGTTCCTCTGCACAATACAGTGGTGCAGTGTTTAGGGCACAATACTGAGCTTTGTATGCACCACTTATATCTTGCGGTCTATCCTAAATCGTCATCAGCGCGACAGGCTACGCGTCGAGCACGACGTACATTTCTGTTCCCCGTGCTTGTACTTCCGGTTGCAGGCTGCTCCTTAACTTCTCTGTCGCGATACACCAAACTCCTCGATCATACATTATCGGCGAGAGAGAGAGAGAGCGGTTAAGGGGACGCCTATGCAACGTTTCGTGACAACCTTCTCAAATTGCAACTGCGCGACTGAGACTTTCGACTGCGTTGCACGTTGCTACTCCCCGTAAAATTCGATAGTGCAAATCATACAGTCAGCCACGAGTCGATGGAGCGGGAACGACCTGTGGGAGTGATAGCGCATAAGATAAAATCAAATCGCCGGTTCTGACTTCCTATCGTTACACGTCCATTATGAAGTCACGGCGAAGGTAACCTTCGAACCGCGAAAGATCATATTTCCGGATTTCAGTTCAGTGAAATATTAGGAATGATAAATCTTCAACAAACTGTGTCCTATCGTGTTGACTACGAAAATTCAATATATTAATCTTTATGATTGATTTTTGGTAATGACTGATTGTTTTAATTTATCTACTGTACAGTATCAGGCTGCTCCTCGCCCTGATGGACTGCAAGGTTCACGAAACGTTGGCATTCCAAGAATGGATCTAGACATGGAGAAAACCCGCGAAACACACAACAGTTATATCTACTGATTATTTCAAGCTATTTTTTAATTTTTTTTCTTATGAAAGAAATATTAAACGAACAGAAATAAATATTAGGCAAGGACTTAAGTCGATTTGTGTGTGCACTTTATAAAAAAATTTTTTTTTACATTTTTACTTCGATGAAAATAAATTGTTTGATATTATTTCTTAACCAGTTATCGTTAGTGTTTACCACGCGTGTATTCTCCCGGATGTGGCTCAGTTATTCGCGCGTATTCTCCGTTTTACCGCACGATGATAGATAAGAGGACGGGATCGAACCACCCTTCCTCATCGTAATCATCGCGCGTCTATTATCGAACCGGCCGTTTCCATGTAACCGTAATGGCACGTACCCGCGGATTTAACGGTGCGGAACAGTCAGATCACAGCGGTCGTTCGTTCCCTAGAATCAGCGATCTTGTTGATAAGTAAATCACTTTGATTTCGCCGAGTTAACGTCACGCGACAGCTCACGATTGCGACGCCCACGTCTCGCCTCGCTCGGGGCGTCGGATTCATCAGCGCGTGGTATAATCGCCACGGCTTTTGACATATGATGGATATAGGCGTTAGCGAGCACGCGTTACAACGTTTCTCGTTCCTCCTGTGCGATGCGATTATGCGATTCCACGGCAAGAACAAGAATGAGATCGATAAGATGGATCCTGAAAAGGCTGTGTCGACACTGATCGCCGTTAGCGCGCTTGACAGTTAGTGCTTCGCCTAAATTACACGTCCCACACGTCGAGAGAGCTAATGAAAGGATGCTGCGATATAAGATTTGTCGCTGACCGAGAAGATCCCGTTGCAAGAAGCCGAGCGGGTGCACGTTTCCTTTCGTAATAGCGTTGGATGGTGCTTCCAAGCTAGCGGAAGTCAATGTCACTGGTGACGCGTGAAACAGCTCAAGGACTTTAATTATGATTGCATATCCAAGATTATTGAGATGAATTGGTGGCCTTTACTAATTGAATTGAGAGGAATTAATTTACCATTAATTTCTACTTTCTAAATGACAATTCGACGGTTTAATAGCGAGCGCTAATACATCAAGTATTTTAATATATGGCATTGAACTAATGATTGAAATAAATATAAAGCTCATTTAGAACTGAAACAATTCCTTCACACGGAATTATTTCAGCATTAAAGATCGAAACTTGATCGCTTTTATTTTTTAATTGTTGTGTGTCCCCATCGCGATTTAATGTTATACATTAATACACTGAGAAACAAATGTTATTGATTTAATTAAAATTACGGGCTGTCACTGACATAAGTAATTAATTCATATATATTTTTATTGACAAAAAGGCCTTGATTATTGAAATAATAATTTGTAATTATTTTATTTAACTGAATCAATAGCATTTTTTTCTCAGTGTATTATTATAAATAAAAGCTTTTATAAGAATTATTGTATTTTTCGAAAGAATTTACCGTTGATGAATGCATTTAGCAGTCCGTAATAGCTCTGTATGATTTTCGACTTTTAATTCAAATCCTTGAACTTTATAAATTTCTACTTATAATCCGAAAATTATTGTAAATAAAACATACATTGGCATTTAAAATAAATTGAAATGTTAACTGAGTATATAGATGCAATATTATAATACAAAAGAAAACGATTTTAAAGTATTTAAAAATTTAGCTAGATACAGATTTGAAAATAATTTTGTTAGACCATCAAAATAATTATGTAAACTGCTGAAATGTCAAAACTTTTTACAGCATTACTCATCATGCTCGAGTTTCCTACATAATTATTTCGATGGTCCAACAAAATTATTTTTAAATCTACCTAAATGTTTAGATATTTCAGCAAAATCATTCTTTCATGTAGCTAATGGAAAAAAATTTTCAAGAATCAACTGTGTCCTCCCAGAAAAAACCTTTCGCGTTTAGCACTATCGATCTAGATTCCCAGTGGAATCGGCATCGCATTCGATATCGCGAGTTCGTCGTGTGTAAAGTACCTAGAAATGTGAATCTAGCCAATTTTGTCCTTTTTTATTGGCTTGATAAAAAATAACGGAATCAATCAGATGATGATTAAACACTGTAAAAAAATTAAAAAACAAATATATGAACACCTCATACAATTGTGTAAGTGCACGTATAAATGCACGTGTATGTGTAATGTGCACATCCATATACGTACGCCATTTTTAATCAAACTAGATGATTGGCCAGACTCTTACTTCTAAGGACTCTACATCGTACGTGCGCATCGTGCTGCGCTGCAGAGGAGTCTGAAACCACGTTCGCGTCCTGGGTGGGCAAAGGTTGTCGAACAGAGAGGCCGCGTCACGACTGACTGTCGAGTCGCGATTGACGCTGGAGGAATATTCCGGCACAACGTGTGCTTGATAGTGCAACAGCGATAATTTCGTGTCCTGGGGCGGCCACACGAATGACATTTTTACCGAGGTGCACGCAATTCGACGTTGATCGTCGTCGGCTCCGCGTGTTACTATCGCGACATAAAACTTCTTTCCTCGCGAAATGAGAGAAAATGCTTACACGACACCCGGAAACAGCGCCGAACAAACGTGAATTATATTATAGAAATATCTAACTGCTATAACTTCGAGAAACCACTTTTCCCTACCATGGTGAATTCGATTAAGCCTACAAAATGCC